GTGTGTGTGTGTGTGTGTGTGTGTGTGTGTGTGTGTGTGTGTGTGTGTGTGTGCGGGGGGGGAGGCAACCCCCCCACTGCCAAGCAATCAATCAATCAATCAATCTTTTGAATGGATTTTTTTTTCTTTTTTTTCGTTTTTTGTTTTTCATGCTCGATCAATCAATCAATCAATCAATCAATCAATCAATGTAAACATGTTAATGAATCAATCAATCAATCAATCAATCAATCAATCAATCAACCAATCAATCAAACAATCAATCAATCAATCAATCATCGAATTAATCAATCAATCAAATTTTTTTTTTTTTCCGCCCGGGACCCAAAAACAAAAACATCTTTTTTTTTACTGTTTTTTTGAATGGGGGGGTACCCCTTGACACCCGACCCCCCCCCAGCCCGTCCACCCCCCCAGCACCCCTCCGGAAGGCCGTGTACGGACGGTCTGAAGTCTGTACGTACGGGCCGTACGGGCGCCGGGGGGCCCGTACGTATGGACGTCCGGACGTGCGGACGGGCCGTATGCGTACGGCGGTATACACAGACGGGTAGTGGGACTTAGCCCAGGCAGAGCCTCACCCCTGTAGCAATTTACCAAAAAAATTAGGAAATTCTGAAACATTCTAGGCTAGCAACCGGGCCGCCCGGGTCACCCTATTTCCCGGGCGGCCCGACCGTGCAAGGACTAGGGAAGGTCCCTGTCGGAAAAACAGATTAAAAAAAATTCAAAAACTCCGAAAAACAACTTTGTTGTTCAGAAAATAAACTGAACAACTTTTGCCTCAGGGTCACATCGAAATTCTTTAGTATCTTTACCGAATTTAAAATAAAAAATTAAATTAAAAAACAATTTTTCTTTTTTCTTTTTTTTATTTGTTTTTTGCCCGGCCGTGCAAGTGGACATGGGCCACTCTGGTAGCCTAGGAAACATTATGATTCCCCCCCCCTCTCTCAAAGTTCTACTGTTCTAATTCTGATTACTTCATCCACATGAGGCTGGGGACCTCGACAAAACTCCCATGGTCTCAATTGGAAGCTTTATCCAGCTAAGCTTACAGGCTACTCCTGTGGCTCCGCGGGTCTTTGCTTACCAGACCCAGCAGCTCGTTGCCTGCGTCCCTAAGTTCTACTTTACCATCCGCAACTTACACTCATCCTAAACAAAGTAACAAGATCCAGCGACCTAAAACATCAAAAATCGCAAACCACAAAGAAAAAGCCCGTTGCCCAACACTTCATGAACAATTTGTTGATCTCTTGGTATCGTCCTTGCATAGGGGCCTAGCTAATCTTCTCGGTCTCCTTCCATATGTTCAGATGAACGCTTGTTTCCATCCTTCTCTCCGGCTGCCGGAACATAATCAGCCTGCTCGAGTCAAGAACCAAAGCTGTCCATTCGAAAATGCACCGTATGTGCTGCTGCTTGAGGGCTAGCTTTGTCCTTCCAAACATGAATGGGCTATTCTCTCTCCCTTGCGCTGCTGGTCTTTTCACTTTCAATTCGTAGGGCTGGATTCCTAGCAGGTGAACGCATGCTGGACTTGGACTTCTGCACTGTACCATCACTGCGGAATTTGGATGATTGGTAAAATTCAAGGGGAGTTTGGACGATGGGCGCAAGTCTCCTCAAATGGCGTTGCGAGGGCAGCATCCAGCAGCATCCAGCGGCACAGTCACATCCCCCTAATTGTGAGAGGTAGAAATGCTTGCAGGGGTGTGGTAGGTCGATAGTGAAAGGTGTTGCGAGAAGAATATAGCCTAGTTAAAAAAAAGAAAAAAGGGGAAACTTTCTATATGCCCCTGAAAGTTTGACTTATTTGTGGTGTGCCCCTCTGATGGCCAACGTGCCCTATTGAGCCCCTCTGACAACCATTGAAGTCTCTGGAAAAACCCTGGCATCGTTTGGGCCTGAAATATGTTCAATATGCCCCTACCGGTACTGGCTCAAAATTTCCAGTATGCCCCGGTAGCTGCCCTCCCAGGGCCAGGGGAAGAGCCGCGACTGCCACCAACAACGGCCTCAGGGGCATGCAGGAAAGTTGCACTCCTCGTTGACAGGGGCCTTCAGAGGCCTCAGGGCATGACAGTGTAAGCCAGCAGTTGGAGTCGGGCGTACGAACTGAGATACGCCCCTCCGCTCTCAGCCTCTGAGGAAGGACTTCAGGGACAACGTAGGAAGAGAAACAGGCGCGACTTCGGGCGCATGCTGGCTTGTGATTGGACGGACGATCGGCGGATGATCCGTGTTAACAACGTCGGACGTCATCTTTCTCGTTAAAGGTTACAGGAGTTCGAGTCGAGCGCCCATCGCTACCCGGGGGGCAAGTCCCACTAGCAGCGAGGAGTTTCCTCAACGGGCGAATCTGATCGTGTCTGTGGAGATGTGCAGAAATCGCGTTGAGTTTCCTCAACCGCACATGGCCACAAACACGTCCAGTTTCAGGGGTTGACGAAACTCAATGCTGCTAGTGGGACTTGGCCCCGGAAGTGGTGCAAGGGCGCCTGATCATGCGGCCCCGTGCCCATTGCTACCTGGAGGGCGGTGCAAGGAAGCCTCAACATCAGTACGGGGCTTGAACTCCTCTAAGCGTCGGTCTTCGCTATATGAGGGAGTTTCACATCGTCGTCTCTTGTTCTTATGCGTGTTGTAGGTGTGCTTTTCTCACGGACTCTCTTGCGGGGATTTTGCTAGCGTTAGGCCGGTCTGTTCCTTCGTGTGCACTGTGCAGTCTTTTGCTTCGATTGCGAAGTTGGAGGTTTCGCAACGCTCCCATGGCGTCTGCGGGCGAGGGTCAAGCTGAGATGATGGTGAATCTTCTGGGAAGTATGTCGACGGGCCGTGTATCTCGAAGCCGAGAGGGAATTCGTCGACGTTCTTCTCTCCTTACTGGCACTTCCAGTAGGCTCACTTCTGCACATCCTACGGCAGTCCTCAGGAACGGGAAGTGTGTCCGATGCACGCGACTCCCAGTTTCTTCCATCACTTGTGAACGTGTATGCCAGCGTCTGTGAGATTGATGACGTGGCATTCAAGGCGCCAAAGGCAGATTTGACGCAACCACGTTTACCTGTCTTAGGCAATAACAAGCTGCTAATTGKTTTAKAACAGCAACCCGAGACGTGGTACCGAKGCCGCTCCGGGAACTCATGCCCTTACATCTCCCGTGCAAGTACCTTTYACTGTCCGTCGCATTGCACTTCGGCTGGGCACGCGCTGTGCAGCGTCGTTGGAGGTACGGGGAGTGCTTGGTACTTTTGCTACTATGATAACTCCGGTAGATCTGTCTTCTGCAGTCACATCTCTCGACTTCAGAATTTCAGCTGTCCAAAACACGGGTCTTCTTATGGAAAAGGGACTTGTCAGGTGGTACAAGTGGAAGCAAACGGGACAGGCACATCTGACGCAGGRTTTGTTAAAGAGAACTTGACATTCATGATAACGGACGATCTGCAGATTTTCAAATCGTCGACGATCCGCAGCATCCAGTTGCTAAATGAGATGAGGATGACGAACATGGGAGACTTAGCAGGAGTTCGAATCAGTTTGGCAAAGGAAGAGGTGATCGTGACATTCTTCACCCTTGCCCTCGTTCCTTCCACTTTTCTTGTCAATGTCGTGTTCGATAAGAGCAGCTTGAGTTATTATCACTCTTCTTAATGTTTCAAAGCTTGATTTGATTTGTTGTGAGTGCTTTGCATGTTCTGGTACGCATGTCTACTGCAATTAGGACTGCCGGGTTGTGGTTTTACAAATGATCGTTGCTGCTGATCTGGCTCGCTGTTTGCAACCACGTTTTGTGCTTTCACTCGCAGTGGGAGGTGTTTGTTTTGGCATTGCTGTGCGACCCTCCGCTAGCTGTCTATCTGTTGGGAGGGTTGCTACTCCATGGGCATTCGTTGTCAAATCACATCTTTTCCTTCCGTTTTGATCTCTCAGTTATTTCATTCTTCGTGATTGCTACTCTTCCCCCGAGCACAACGCACCCTCGTCATGTGTGTACCGGACTGGAAAAGATATGAGCTCGTACACATATCATAATCGTGGTGCGTTTCCTGCGATCGCCGAGATCCTATTGCGTGCAGTTATCGCGTCTCTGCTTCGCCGTCCGATCTTCCAATCTGTCCAGTTCTCGATTTTTGTCCGGCGTCATCGTGGCTCTTGGAGGGGAAAAGAGATCGGCAGATTGTGGGTGCCTTTTTTTCGCTTCTTTATCTTTTCGATGTCTTCGCTGACACGTAACTGTCTTTGTCTCGCTTTTGGCCTTTCCCTCGTGAACTCTGCCTCAGATGCTGAAGCTGCTTCGCCTGGCGGTGACGTGTGAAGATGGAGTCTTGAGCAACGTGTTCGACAAGCAGTTCTCAGAGCTTGTGAAGGAGCACGCGAAGCCTAAGAAGACCAAGAAATAAGTGTGTCATTGACTTCATATTCAATCCTGTACGTCGGATGTTTCCCGGAGGCAATCATCATCTTTCATTTTGCGGGCGCGCAGTCGTTGATAGCAGGCCTGTCCAAGGAGGCGCAGGGGTTTTGTCGGTGTCGTGTGTGTGTGTGTGTGTGTGTGTGTGTGTGTGTGTGTGTGTGTGTGTGCGTGTGCTCGTTGAAAGCTGGCTGGTTGGAAGCGAAATGATATAGAATAGGATGAACGAAACTGCGGACATGCTTTAAGTGCTTATGTTTGGCGGTTCTATGTCAGGGTCTTGTGGGTGTTATCAGGAGAGGAAGGAAAGTCGAACGGTACACGTCGATGAAGGAAAGTCGAACGGTACACGTCGATGAAGGAAAGTCGAACGGTACACGTCGATGATGATCTGTTCTTCTGATGGTTCGAAGCTGAATAGGCTATATTTCGGCATAAGATTATTTTTAGCGGTGTGATATCGTGCAGGTTGTGTGCTCGATCCATGTTGAGGTTATCGTGCAGGTTGTGTGAGCCATCCACGTTGAGGTAACCGTCAACAGAAAGCCTGAGAAAGGAATGATCAGCATCTTTGGCCGTGCGATGTCGAAGTTTGCTAGCTGAGGGGTCGTTACGGGAGGAAGAATTCAATGCTGAAGTACGCGTTCGTGCACTTTTTGTTGGTTTTTTCGTCGAGAGCGCTCGGATACCATTTTTCTTGAGCTGTTGCCACGTCGTCCGCTTATTTGCGCCGAACAACGGTCGGCGACGATGTTCGGCTTCCTTTGGACTATGGTGGTGCTCAGTTCGCACTCGGAGAGCTCACAATGTCGGTGGAAGGGTGCAGGTTATTCCGCCGTCCCGCTCGTAGACAGCTACTGTGCTCGGTTGTCCTGGATGGTGTAATAAGGGCGGAACGAGTCGTCTTGCCGTGCGATCTCACCCCCTGATGAAGACTTACGCTTGCGAGTCGGTCGAAAGACTGCGTCGGGTTGCATCGCCAGTTTGTCTTGTTTTTCCTTGAACATGTCTTTCGCGCCGTGATTGCGCTGCGGGGAACTCTTTCGTCTCTGTCTGTTCCTGGCTTTCTTCTGGTCTAAATCCACTTGCACACAACAGACGTGTATCGTGCGTTTGCTTTGCTTGCTGGTGCCTTGACGGTTCAACTATGACTGAGTCGTACTAGCGAGGTCTTGATAACTGTGGTTCGGTTTGAAGGGTTAGGCTGTCGGTGATAATAATGTGTCGATGCATTCCGTGTTTGGCCTGAACAGCGTTTCCTGTCGTCCCTAACTATGTAACCTGGTTCCTCAAATCCATAGGGTCCTGCTGTCATGGCTACCGTGCTTGTCATGGTCGCTCTGGTGTTGATAACTGTGGTTAGCCATGGGGCTAGGTTTTCGGTGATCAGTTATGGGATGAGCTCCTCTATGCTCGACATTGATTGTAACGTCGTTTCGCTCTCACTTTATTGACTAAGTTATGTCATGTTTGTTCGTCTGAGTTAAGAACTTGGAAGGTAATCTTGCCAGTGCCGAAGCCGTTCATGACGAGCGGTTTCGTGTTTCTGCAACGGTTTTGGTTTCCGCGATGATCCCTTTTTTTTTTTTTTTTTTTTTTTTTTTGTTTCCTGTGGCCCGATGGACCACGGATCAGATATGAAAGTGATCACTACAAAAATACTACGCTTGATCTTAGCCAAAGGGCCGAAAAAGGTATACATTATTATTTTGGGAATACCGAACGTTTTTTTTCTTTTTGTTCCCCCCCCCCCCCCGGAAATTTGAGGAGTCCTTTTTGTTTCCCGCGCCCCCCAGAAATTTGAGGAGTCCACAAGTAATGTGGGTATGTTTTTTGGGAAAAGTTATAACCCCCCCCCCGCGATGAAGCATTTGTATTCGTTTCCCCCCAAATGGCAGGAAAGCGTTTTACAGGGTGCAAAAATGGCAGGAAAGCGTTTTATTACAGGTTGCAAAAAGGACGCCAAAAGTCATTTTGGGGTCTGCGGCACTTTTTTCCCCGTTTGCAAAGGTTTCGTCGTGGGGAGGTTTAGTGACTTTTCCCTAAACACAAAGAAAAGAAAAGAAAAAAAAGACTTCAATTTCCCTTTTTTTCCAGTGCGGTTTCTCCTTAATGTGTCTTACATCTTATGAGGCCATATGCCTTGATAGATTACAATTGCCGACGAGAGCGGTGTAAAGACTCTACTTCACAAAAGTACACAAATGTATCTAGTATCAACTGAGGGCGTACGAGCTCGACACAAGTAAGAGCGTATCACTACAGACGTAGGTCAAGACTATTCCGGCACATCAGTTCTTGATCAATATTGAATGTGTGCTCCGTCAAGAAATAATTAATTCCTCCGACTCATGCATCCCCTGGACTGGATACCCATTTCCTGACAACCCAGCTCAATTCATCTCCCAGCCAACCATAACTAGATGTCTATGTCAGCTCAAGATTCGAGGTCTGTTTTTTTTTTTTTTTTTTTTTTTTTTTTTTTTTTTTCGATGTCAACCGGCGATCTCTGCGTAATCTGTAGGGGTTCTCTATCTGCGTTTCCTGTTTTGTCCTTTTGCTTGATGTCCGGGCGTTTGCCGCCAGCAGAACTTCATGACTATGTCACTACGGCGCTCTGCGCCGACTTTTTTGGGCTTCATTGAATATCTTTAATGGATGCGCTCGGGGGGTTTAGTGATTTTCTTGTCTTTATGCTTGTCTTCTTCGTCCGCATGTGTCTATCTTTTTTCGTCTTCCATCTGTATTCGATCTCAATGGCAACTGCCAACTAGTGCGTGCATTTAAGAGCTTCCCCCGAATAGAACGTACGGTCGTTATCGCTGTATCTGGACTGAAAGTTGCCCCAGATAGAGGCATAATGACCGTACGTTCTATTCGGTTCGGTAGGTAAGAAGGTAGCTATGTATGTTGCGTCAACTATGGCAGTTTGGTCCAATACCCGATGACCCGAGTGCGAAACGAGAAATCCAGTATTGAAGAAAAAATGCACACGATACGGATTTGCAATGGAGCAAACGTCCAAACGCCGTAATTGAAATTTGAAAACAAAACGCCAAACAGCTTAGCAGAGATACAATCTGCGAAACCGTTTAACAGCTGAGACGAAAGGAAAAAAAACACAAAACGTCCAAAAAAAAAAGGATACAATCTGCGAAACCGTTTAACAGCTGAGACAAAGGAAAAAAAACAGCTCAACATGAGAGTTGACGGAGGGCAAAACGGACCAAAACGGACCAAAACGGACCAAAACGTCAAACACCTTGACGGATATACAAACGGACGAAAACGGTTGAGGAGCTGAGAGGACGGGCTAGGTGCACTGGAATGCATACGGCTGCCTATGTTTATGCAGAGGAAGGACGTGCAGAACTGAATGGGTGTATCTCCGGCAAAGGGCATTGAAAGACGTACATTCCTAATATGGCTGAATGGCAGAGACATGCTACGTAACTGCTGTTTTGATCAACAGGTCTTCGTCGGATCGAAGTCTGACGAACCAATTGGAGATACGAGAAGTGAATAGCATATAACCTTAATTGGTTCCGAGTAGAATAAGCAGTAACCCCGGCGATGCAATGAAGTGTAATTAGCATGTGGCCTTGCTGCGCGAAGATGACACGCATTGGTTGAGAAATGCAAAAGTTCTTGTCGAAATGATAGAAACTGGAAAGGAGAGAAACTAAATGGTCCAAATGGTCCAAATTTTGATACACAGGTCATGAGTTGAAATTCTCCTGAAAGAAAATAACGGTGGGGCTAACCCCGGCCCTATATGAGCGGAAATTTCTTGTCGAAATGATGGAAATTGGAAATGACAGAAACGAAAAGGCTTCTCGTTGAAATGATAAGAACAGCTCAACCACATTCCCGAAAAAAAAAAAAAAAAAACGGATTTGGGAAAGAAAAGCAATCTTCTTCGAAGTGAATGAGGATCCAACGGAACAGATATTTTCTCTTTTTTCCCCCTTCGAAGTTAAAACCTTGGGAAATGCAGAGATGGACGGCCCTGTTTGCTCCCTATTGGCATTGTTTGCTTTCTGGGATTTTTCTTTGTTTGCTTTCTGGGAATAGTCATATGAAGAAAACACAGAGGAGAACGAAAAAACAACGCCCTTTGTATGGTGCATACATTTTCCACAAATGTGGCAGTCGCATGGGTTGGTATTGCATTGATGGTATGTTCTCACTATGTTCTGGATTGTTGGCGTCCATAGTGCACACGCAGATTGATATCATTGTGTACCATAAGCCCTGCTTTGTTTCTTTTTCTCCCGTCGTGCTCGGATTTTTCTTTCCCATGGTTGGGCAATCAATCAGTGTACCTATTTCACCAAGATACTCTTCCCGGTTTTTGTTTTTCCAACCTGTCTCGAAGGCTTTTGAGAGAGAATGTGACGCACATGTAGAGGGCACATGAGGAGATGGCGCGCGCGCGCGCGCGAGAGAGAGAGAGAGAGAGAGAGAGAGAGAGAGAGAGAGAGAGAGAGAGAGAGAGAGAGAGAGAGAGAGAGAGAGGAGATGGACAGACACAAGAAGCGGCAGCTGAGTTAAGGTCCAATGGTCGGTGCTGGAGCATGTGCTCTGTAACCAAGGGGGGAATGAGACCATTGGAGGTATGCCGAGGGTGGAAGGCATAACCATCTTGTTCAACGTAGCTGATGCCGGGGTAGTGACCCTGTAACTTTGGGGGCTGTGCAGCTAAGGAGGTGTCCGAGGGAGGAAGACACTTCCTATCCGTCAGAACTAGTTCGGTCAGGTACTGGGACTGTTGAGGTTGTCCGTCACCCTAGTATTTTTGGATTAARAAAAAAAAAAAAAAAAAGAGGTCCAGTCCCACTCCATGAACGAATGAACAACTGAATGGGCCTAGGCCGGAGAGATATACCGGCCTTGGTCTAGGCCGGAGTAACCCGGTACCGGACCGGGCTCAGGCCGACGGCCTGAAACAGGTCCGACCTCACTGCCGGGCCAAAATGGTACCGCTACATGATCCTCAGACTTGTAAATGTTTCAAGCAATACATCAACACGCCATCCGCTGAAATAGCAGAAACCGAGAGGAACGACAAAGAGACAATCCTAAATGTGGAGCAAGCTCCGTGCAGAAAAGAGATGCAGTGCAGACTAAGCCTCAGGCCTAGTCTATACAACAATGTGGTCTGAGTCTACCCAAAAAGCAGAAAAATGTCTCACATGTGTTGGCCAACAACTAAAGAAATGTCTGACCTGTGTCGGCCAAGAAAGAGAAAATGTCTCCTAAGCCAATATGGCTGAGCATAAGTCAACATGCCCTAAAGGCTAAAGAGTAACTACATCAATATTCAAACCAAAAAAGAATGTGGCAGTCTCAAGTGCAATGTACAAGTGCACAAAAGCCGAATAAACGACATAGAGCTTAGTTGCATGGGAAAGGTAGGGATGGGTGAGAAGGCGGCAAATACAACTCTCAAAGTAAACTACAAGGGGGTACCCTAAAAACCATATGAAACACCATCAGGCTCAAAGGGAGAACAACAGCACGACACCAGGGTCAATGGAAACCATCAAACGGGCACCGCCAACTGCAAGGGAAATGGCACTCACACACGGGCGCACACAACCGAGCCTCAAAGGATAGGGGGCCTATGCTAGCATAGACATATGGCCAAGGGCCGCCAGCAAAGAAAAACGTACACTCCAGCGGAGGGCGTGCAGCATAGGGCAAGGGAGAAGGGCGGCAAATGAACACACCCACACTATGAAACACCCGTGGACGCGTCCGCGGGGCCGATCTCGGATGGTGGCCGCAAATGTGGCCGCGTCCGTGGCCGTCCTGGTCCGCGCCGCGGACCCGATTTTACCAGAATTTTCCTGAATTAAATAATAGATAAAAAAAAAAAAGGGGTTGTAGGGAATTTAAAGCCCTACAACCCCATATATTGTTTTTTGGAATCCAACTTTGTTTAGGATTTTTAAAAAATCAAAAACTAAATTGGATTTAAAGATTTTTTTTTTTTTAAATATAAAGAAAAGCAGGATTTTTTTTTGTCATTTTTTATCATGAGATATATGGTCCCTGAGTTGACCTGTATTTTTTTCAGAAATGAATTTCTGTTTTTTGCAGGGGTATGAGGTGTTTTAAAAAAATGCAGATGCAGAATTTCAAAATAAATAAACAAAAAACGGGTTTGATTGATTGATTGATTGTGATTGAGTGAATGAGTGAGTGAGTGTGTGTGTGTGTGTGTCTGTGTGTGTGTGTGTGTGTGTTTGTGCGCTGCCGCGCTGCGCTGCCGCGCTGCGCTGCCGCGCTGCG